GAAAGAAAAAAGAAAGAAAGAATGAAGGAATGAAAGACAGACAGACAGACAGACAGGCTGGGTGTGGTGGCTCACTCCTATAATCCCACACTAGGATGCTGAGGCCAGTGTATTGCTTGAGATCAGGAGTTTGAGAAAGAAAGAAGAAAGAGAGAAAGAGAAAGAAAGAAAGAAAGAGAGAAAGAAAGAAGAAAGAAAGGAAGAAAAGCACAAAGGGGAAGAAAGAGGAGGAGAGGAGAGGAAAGGAGAAAGGCAATGAAAAGGGGAAGGGGAAAGGAGAGGGGAAGGAAGGCTCCATGCTTATTTTGGCAATGCTAATGTACATTTCAGAGAAAAAAATTAGGAGTCACCTATTGTGTTGAGAAACAATAAGTACTGAGGATGAAAATGTGTATAATACTATCTTAAAAACCATCCAGACAAAAATGGGTGCTGGAACAAGAGAGTGTGAAGCGGCTGTGAGCCCGACCTGGTGGTCAGCGCGGGCATCTGAGGAGGTGGGCACGTGGTGGCTGCCAAGCCTCAGTGGGAAGAAGGCTCCCTGGCGTCTGAGCTCCCCACACTGGGCACGATGCTGCTGCCTGGAGTCTGGGGAAGGAGGGGGATGCCACTGCAGGCCTCGCTCCCTCTAAGAATGCCAGCCCACGTGCATGAGTCCAACTTGGAGAGGCCCCTCTCCAGGAGTGAAGGAAGAAATCTTTAGGGTTTCTCATTGTTATCATCATCCCCAAAATATCCCAAATAAAAATCAAGTTCTTGCCACAGAGGGACAGCCTTCAGACATGCCCTCTCATCTTCCTCCATAACACCATCCCGAGCCCAGCACCGAAATTCCAGAAACACCGCTTGTTAGCACCATCCCAATCCCAGACTGACCACCCAGCTCCTCACAGGAGCAAAAGGCCTGCAGACCTGGGGAAAGGTGCTCCCGTCACCCCTCTGAGGGCCGAGGTGCCCTCGCCAGCAGGGAGACGGGAGCTCTGCTTTGCACTGACTCAGCGGCTGCCCACTTCACATTGAAAACTATGTTTTCACTACAGCTCCTGTAATGTATGTTTTGTTTATGCCAAGACCATCATGATAAACTGCAACAATTATCCATTTACAGTTACAAAGACTCTCTTTCATATAATCTGTTTAGCTGGCTATTAATTCTGAGCTTTCATTAGGAAAAAAAAAAAAAACTAAACAAATTCTGGTTGACTGCAGTGAACACAAATACATGAAACTTTCTAATCTGAAAGCAGTCTGTTATCAATGCAACAATGACATTTTTGATTGAAAAATCAATTTTTTCCCTTCATTCCTTTTAACCTCTGTGCCATCTTCTTTCCTTCCCTGGATCCAGATAACATAACTCACCATGAAAGCCAGACAGAAAAGCCCTGGGCATGTCCACGGGAAACTCACAGGCATTTCACCTGCGGAAGGACTCACTTCCCTCCAGCTACGGGGCTTTCCCCAATCACACCTTTCAACTCTCCTTGTTAATCCCTACAATTCCTGGGGAGGAAAAAACATCGAGTTGTTGCTGTTAATAATGCAGGAAAGTGTAAGTGCCAGCCGGGCAGTTCTGGGAAAAAGTGCTATGGCTCAATGAACCCGACGCCCTGCTCGGCCTGAACACGCTGATGGGAGCAGCCCGAAGTGCCCGAAGCCCACTCTGGCCCTGCGAGTGGAGCCCGCGTCAGAGCCAGTGTTCTTCACAGACCCTTATCTGCTCTCCTGACAGTGACCTAAAGGAGTTTGTGAGGTCAGTTAAAGGAGTTAAGAGCAAGGAGCTGTGTGGATCCGGTGAGCGCAGGGATGTGAGCAGATGCCCCGAGGACTGAAGAGCCTTTGCCACAGTGCTGGATGCTCTGTCCACAGAGGGCCACAGGCTCGGCCTCTCGGGGAAGCTCCTGGCTTTGAGAATGCCTCCCCCCAGGCTCACACACCCACTGTGGGCAGCCCACATCAATCCCACGTTCGTGTATGGGTAACAGAGCCCCTCATCAGCCACATGAGCACAGCGCAGGCTCCCGTGGGGCTGGCGGCGTCCTGCATGGAGACTGCATCCCCTCCACCCTTCCTCCCATGGGCATTCCTGCAGGGTCCTCTCCCATGGAGCTTCCTGCACGCTCACCTCCCCACCAGTGTCTGCTTCCCCTGATCAGGCTGAGCTTGACTTTACCCTCTGCAAAGGGATAAACCACTTCCCCTCAGCTTCCTCACCTGTAAAGCCAGGACCATCACAGTGCCCACCTCCTAAGACTGCGGTCCTGATGTAGGCCAGGCGCTGGAAGCTCTTCCCAGGACACAGGAGTTGAACCATTCAGAATCTATTAGCATTGGCTCAGGCTCCTATCACAAAATTCCCAGCAACTGGGTGGCTTCAACGATAAGCATTCATTTCCTCACAGTCCTGGAGGCTGCGGGCAGCTCTCAGGTCCAGGCCCCAGGAGGGTCTGGTGAGGGCCGCCTGCTGGTTCATAGACCATACCTCTGGCCACAGCCTCGCCTGGCTGTGCCATCATGACCACGCCACCTCCCAAAGATGCCACCTCCTAAACCATCGCTTATAGTATTCCAGCAGGGGGATTTGAGGGAGACACAAACATTCAATGCACAGTAGTCAGTTACTGCCAGTGCGACGGTAGCATGGCTTGAGCACGTGATTTCAGTGAAGGGCTGATTTTTGTCCCATTTGTGAAGTGGGTACTTCATGCTCTTCTTTGTAAACCACAGTGAAACGTGTGTATGTGGTTTGTTTTTTGGCAAGAGGCGGCGGTCAACAGAAGCTCATAATCACAGCAATAATGTGATATGATTTGCACTTTTAAAAGCCCTCCCTGGCTGCCTTCCCCATCCAGTAAAAGTTCAGTGGCTTTTCCAATTATCCAGGTAAGAGAAGGTGCTGAGTGGGGCCCAAGGAAGTGGTTGAGGAAATGATCAGGAGCAGTGGCTTCCAGAGAGACCCCGGAGGCGGTACCCACAGGGCTTGCTGATGGACAGGCCAGGGAATGGGGGGAGAAGAATGAGGGACAGCCCCAGGTCTTCAGTCTGGACACCTGGAAGCAGGGGTCCTGTTGATGTGAAGAGGAGGAGAGGTGTGGGCAGGCTTGTGCGGAGGTAAGGACACCGTTGGCATGGTGGCCCTTTGATGCCCCGTGTGGAGCCCTGCACAGAGCAGCTGGCAAGGCCCGGCTCTGGCTCTGGAGTCATCTGAACATGGATGCTGCTCACAGCCACCCGGGGGATGAGTCATCCAGAGAATGTAAGGCGAGGTGAGAAGGCGAACCTTGTACCCTACAGAATTACAGGGCAGGGGGGGCCAGGAGAGGCAGCTGGAGGGAGATGGCCAGTGAGTAAGAAGGACAGCTAGGGTGTAAGCAGGCCCAGAAGCCACGTTTGAATCATGCTTCCAGCTACGGGACCAGGGAGGCCGAGTGTGCCAGATGCCGTGGAGAAGCTAAGTCGGGAGAAGAGGCCCCACACACCCTGAGATCTGAAGAAATGAAGGTCTCGGTGAGCGTGGCAGCCGCAGGTCCGAGAGCCTGGAGGGAGCTGAGGAGAGGTAGGGGTGAGATGCTGGGGGCCTGGATAACTTTCCAGAGACAGTTTTAATGAAGAGTTTATTAACAGGAGCCATGGGGTCGCCACAGGGCATGGTTGTGTTGGTTTGCTTTAGCGGGGAGATATTAGAACGGGTAAAACTGATCCCAGAGACATAAATAAATAAATAAACCGGATAAGGCAGAAGAGAAAAGCTGCATGGGAAAAAGTCAAGTCTCAGGGGCGGAAGGGCACAGGAGCCGCAGCAGGAAGGCAGGGTCCCAGCTTCGCACAGGGACACTTCCTCTGCTGTGACAGTAAGAGGAGCCAGCCAGGAACGTGGCTGCTTCTTGCCTGGCTCTGGTGGTCAGCTGAGCATGGGGAGCTTGCAGCCTTTGAGGGGGAGGGGAAGAGGGACGTGGCTATGCTGATAAGAGAGGGAATCGGGAGGCAGAACCGTGGACCGCCCTCCGGTCTCAGCAATGCACCGCTAGCCAGCCATGGTTTTGAGGGCTCCAGGAGGAGCTGAGTCCTAAGTGTGTCCTTTCGTGCTTGCGCATGTCTGTAGAGAGGACGGCTGGATTCCCAGGTGTAGGTAGGTTCCTAGTGGGTTTGAACCTTACTGAGCTTTCCAAAGATGTTTACCGAGCCTTGTGGAATCTCAGGGATGGAAGGGGACGGTAAGCAGACACCATGGCCAATGCCTCCCTCATCCTCTCTGCCTGTCCCCACCCAGCCTTGCCCCAGTGACACTCACCCCTTCCTGTGGGCAGAGCCCTCAGACCATCCCAGAATCTAACGTAAGACGCTAACACCTCTGTCTTCCATGACAAACTCGACATGGGATGGGATTTCGTCTGTGTCACTCAGACCCAAGGAAAGAACTGCTGTGAGGTCTGTGGGAAAGGTTCTCCTTGCGGAGAAGAAATGGAGGTCAGAGGGGAAGGACTGCCTTCCTTGAAGGTGAGGTCACAGGCATAAGATCCCTGGAATTGATGAAACTTCCTGGGACCTTGATGTTTTCTTGAGGGGACACATGTCCCCTCCCACCTGCCAAAAGACAGAGGAGAAAGACGTGGCGTCCGAGCTCTGGCAGCCCCGTGGAGCTGCTCACCAGGATGGGACACTCCTGCCTTAGAGGATGGCCCCGTGGGGAGTGAATGCAGAGAGCATTTCAGAGATTCCAGATGGGCATCTCCTTACTGTAGCACAAGACATGCTGACGGCTGGGGTCCCTGCCCACAACTTACTCTCACCTTGTTGTAAGTATTGTCAGAGTCCTTCTTGTAAAGTATATGCACTGCTGTTTCCAGGATACAGATCATGGCATAGATTTAATTGGTCATAACCAACTTTAACATTAGAATAGAAGGTCAGGTGTGGAAGTCCACATCTGTAATCCCAGCACTTTGGGAAGCCAAGGCAGGTAGATCACTTGAGCCTGGAGTTGGACACCAGCCTGGGCAACATGGCAAAACCTATCTCCATAAAAAATAAAATAAAATAAAATAAAAGTCAGCTGGGCATGATGGTGCACACCTGTAGTCCCAGCTACTCAGGAACCTGAGGTGGAAGTGTCAGTTGAGCCTGGGAGGTTGAGGCTGTGTGAGCCATGATCACGGCACTGCAGTCCAGCCTGAGTGAGAGAGCAAGACCCTGTCTCAAAAAATAAATAAACGAAAATAAAAAGGAAAAAAAAATAACAAAGTGTGTTGCACGTGTACCAGCAAGTGTATTTTTCTGAAGCCTTGCCTTGCCTGTAAACCTACATGTATGTACAATTCCACTGCATATATTTTGTTTCTGTGCTGTAGGTTAGTCTGTTTTATGTATGAGAAAGGAAAAAACAAACTTGAAGCCATCTCACTCAATATCTGTGATTTCAATTGTCTACTCCATGAGAGACTGAGTGGTTTACCTCAGACCGCCTGGCTTACTGGAGTCAGAAGCCACAACCCGCTGTGAGGTCCACCCCCAACACCAATGCCCCTTCTATTGTACTGTGCAGCTGATTTTGTTGGTGTTATTATTAGGTGTAAAATCATCACAAGTGCCAATAATTAGAAGAGTCTTATAAAGATAGACTTCCAAAATGAGTAACATGAGGGAGGTGTAAAAACTATAAATTAGCACATGAAATTTGGAAAAGCAGAAATTATAATTATCCTCAAGCGTGGACTGCTAATGTGACTAGCAATGGTGCGGTTTCTAGCCTGAGGGTTTATGGCAAAGCTCCAGGACTGACTGTGCTGTCACCAAGCCATCATGACGGTTTCCCTGGCATTAACAGGCATCCTGGTGCTCCCACACAAAGTGAACAGAGACCTGTTCTATGACAAGAGAGGGAAGATGCTTGACATGGTTTGGCTGTGTCCCCACCCAAATCTCATCTTGACTTGTAGCTCCCACAATTCCCATGTGTCATGGGAGGAGCCCAGTGGGAGGTGATGGAGTCATGGGGGCAGGTCTTTCCCGTGCTGTTCCTGTGACAGTGAATGAGTCTCACGAGATCTGATGTTGTTAAACACAGGAATTTCTCTGCACAAGCTCTCTCTCTGCCTGCTGTCATGCACATGTGATGTGACTTGCTCCTCCTTGCCTTCCGCCATGATTGTAAGCCTTCCCCAACCACATGAACTGTGAGTCCAATTAAACCTGTTTCTTTTGTATATTGCCCAGTCTTGGATATGTCTTCATACGCTGTGTGAAAACGGACTATTAAAATGCTCTCTCACTGCCCAGTGATTTTTGAGTCTTTTATTCTTTTGCTAAAGGTTGTTTTAAAAATTCAGTTAATAGCCAAAGTTTTGATTCTCCTAAGTTTATTTTTATAAACAGGAATGCCATCGGGAGGCTTAATCTGAGATGTGAGCCTGATGACCAGAGCTGGGGGTTCGGGAACAGTAAGGACCTGGGTGTTGTTACTGTTTGTACTGTAGGTGAACAAACACTTAAAGGTGTGTGGAATGGTGCATCACCCGCAAGACAGGCATTTGGATGGTTCCAGGGTGCTGACTCTCAGGACACACATTGCAGGGGCTGAGTGTGTTTACATGAGATGGTTTTTCATCTGCAAGTGCCACTTGGAATATGGAGTTCATTTTTCTTTCTGCTGTCTCACAAGGATTGTTATCCATCTATCACGGTTTGCAAATATGCATCCCTACATGGTGAGAAAGGCTTCTATAAGTGATCTCTAATCTCTGCCTGTTCATTCTAAGTCTACTTTCACTGGCTGAAATGTGCACATACACAAGAATTACGTCTGATTTCAAAGGACATTCTGGGACAAACCCAGATCTCAGAAAGCTGGTATAATTAATTTCATAACTTGAGATAAAAATTATTCCAAATCTATTTGAACTATTGCTTTTTTATTAGAAAAGTTTTCTGTCTCATTTAATAATGTCAAACATTTATTCAAGTATAAAGAAGAAACACCACTCGGTAATATTGCACCATTTAATAAGTAAAACATAATATTTTTGTAAATTTCTCTTTAGGCTTGTTTCAGTGTATTCATGGGGACAGAGATATGGTAATACATTTTTTTAAGTATATATTGTCAGAATGAGGATCAAGTCATAAATAGAGTCAGTTTCCATATTTTGTCACTTAACTCTGCACCATAAACATGTTCCTATCATTAAATTTTGGGAAAATTTGCTTTTCAATGCCTGTATATTTTTCCTTTGAGTGCTTCTATCAAAATCCATTTAAGGAATTCTCTCCTCTGAAACTTTTAGGTTGGTTTTCATGTTTCACTCTCATAAATATCGTGATGAAGGCAGATCTTCCCCTGAAACCCGAGGATTCTCTCATAGAATTCTCTCAAAGTAAAGAGAATATTCCCGAGAGCTCTCTTCTCTTCTCTTCTTTCCTTGTATTCTATTTTCTTCATTTCTTCTTCTTCTTTTTTAAAATACACACACACACACACACACACACACACACATATGTATATATATACATGAGAAATTCCTTGGGATTACTGTTAGGTAGAAAGTCAAAATCAGTGCCATTTCCCTGGGGCAAGGCCATTTCTGTAGGATGACAAGCAGAGCCAGAGTGGAACCTGAGGTCTGGAGGCAACCTCAAAGATGGACCCCCCTTCAGGGACATTCGGGAGCCCTGTTTCTCTCAATGGAGCTAAAGAAGTCAGTCACTTTGAACTAACACAGCGGGCACTTCCGGCCCTACCTGCTTCCCCAGGTTTGGAGGGATGGAGCTCAGATTCTGTGGATTCCCATGACCGCAGACACCACGGGAGAGATTCCAGGGTCTCCTTTTCCTCTGGAAAATTGAGGGTTTCAGCTTGATCCTGTTATCTCCCTGGGGATGATTGCCAATCTGTCCTATTAAAGAATCACTTAGTTTGTTTTTAAAACAATTTCTCAAATTCAGTATTTTTTACTGAAATGAAAACATAAAAAGATAGAGTATTTCCCTAAGAGGATACCATTTGGTCTATTATGGGAAAAGCCCAGCAGGTGCAGTAAATATATCTCTCCAGCACTTAGGATTCGTAACTAGTGGCTCAGTCCATGGTCTGCGGTGCTGTGCACACACAGATAAAGAAGGTGACACCTTTTCCATGACGTGGGCTTGGACTTGTTTCACCTGGGTGTGAGAGAAACAATACAGAGATCCTTTCCATTTCAGAAGCGCCAGCTGTGCTCACCAGAGCCTGCTCCCATGGGCTCATTCCCCTGACTGGCATGCTTGAGGTTGCTTCTGTGGGATCATCTAACTCTGTGTATGCCGTGGAAGTACAAGTGCAGAAGAACACATTCCCACAGCCATGGAGAACCCATGTATTCCAGGTCCTGACTGCAAATGAAGGGGCACCAGTAGCTTGCTGAGACTCAGGTACCTGGGCTGCCGGTCTCCCGACCCTGGACACCCTACATCTGGTCCAAGGGAAAGCTTCCTCCTACAGAACCTCCTGGAAAGTTGAGCCTGCTTGTTTTCTGAATGTTTTAGACTGAATTTATCCTTCTTTGCTTCCTTTTCTGGTTGTGGCTGTTGGTTGTAGATATCTTTCTTACCTTTCAGTCATTGCAATGCAGTGCTTTGCATTTCAGAAAGCAAAGGTAGGCCCTAGGCCCATCAGCCCAACTGTGAAATCAGATTGTATCCCTGCATGTTATAGGATTTTAGGGAATGGAAGGCCTTTCCAGCTGGCTTTCTAAGAAGGGAAAGGAACTTGGTTTGCTTCTGTCTTTTCAGAAACACAGATGATGATATGCAAAATTCCTGACCATTGCAATAACTAAACAGAAGTGAACGGCAGTCACCAGGCCTGACCAGTTAGTCAGCGTGAGCCGGCCAGGTCTCAGAGCTCTGAGCACCAGGTCCTCTTCCTAGGCACTGGGGTGATCAGGTAGATGCAGGTGAAGTCCTGGTAGATGCAGGTGAAGCCCTGGTAGATGCAGGTGAAGTCCTGGTAGATGCA